GAAATCTACCTTGTGCAGATGAATCCTTAAAATGTGGCTGGGGTGAGCCAGAACCTAAAAACAATTGGGAGTGAAGAGAAGATGTCTCTATTATGTTCCGGCTCCCATTTATCTTGGAGCCATGCTCACTCCAAAACTTGCCAATATATTTTTTAAAAATGAAAAAGTATTACTCATTATATTTCTAAACATCATGCATTATTTAGTTAATACAATAATTGATTCAGATATAGCCTTAACATTACATGATTGTGATGCCTGTAACTACTTAACAAAAAGTATCTTCAGTATTACTTGATGCATTAAGAATATGTAAAAAATATTTTATTTGGACAGGGAGGGGTGTGGGGGGGATAGAAAGACTCTGCAATGATAAGCTATAGTGTAAACACAAATGTAACTATCTGTCCCAAAGTGTTTTGAGCTTTCAAAATTAAAAAGGTAAGAAGTAAGGGGGCGGGGGATAACTTGCAATGCTGTATGTTGAAAACCTAGAGAGCACAACAGATAAAATAAAAAATTGTTCAGAAAATGGCATTTATTATACCAGAGGAGACTGAAGGGTGGCAAGCTTTCAATAATAATAATAATAATAATAATAATAATAATAATAGTAGTAGTAGTAGTAGTTTATTATTTGTACCCCACCCATCTGGCTGGGTTTCCCCAGCCACTCTAACTTAACACAGTTCCTCATCAGGATTAAGCTCACAGGCACTGTCCAGCTAGGATGATCAGACTCCAACAAAATGGCTAGGAGGACTCCTAGTGACATTATAGGATGTGATGTAGTATGTAAATGGAAGCAAAAGCTGAGCAGTTGAGTAGGCAAATCAGTATCTGCAAATGACCTTGCTTGTGTTTTGCATTATTTATGCAATGGGAACTGGAGTTTTGCCAAGCAAGATAAAAACCAAAAGCTGCATAGTGAGAAATTCTCAGGACTTTAAGGGGCAAGGAAATCCTGCAGGCATCCTAGGCGGGTCTACAGTTTTTATCGCATTAAAGTAAAAGAGATCAATTATTCTCCATAGTCGACACGAACATAAACACGAAGTAATGCACTTCGCCGTTGCATTTGCTATGCTATTTATTCCAATAAAAGCCTTCATAAAGTGAACAGCAAAAGACTGTCGCCACAGCAAGGAAACCTCCATAGGAGCTCCGCAATTAAGGACAGCGCAGGTGATTGAACAAGCTGCCAAGAGAATGGCTTTCCCTAGGAAGACTCAAGAAATAAGTTAACAGAGCAACCCTATGCACTTTTACTAGGAAGTCAGCTAAATTGTGGGGATCATTCCCAGGCTTTTCATGCAAAGGACTGTAGTCTAATGCTCTTCCACAAATGGCACAATATTGGGGATAAACCTGTGCAAATTTTAACCCTAACAATTTCAGAATGGTTCTTTCCAATCATTACATGCAGCACTGCACATCATCCCTTCCTCCTCCCCTCCCCACTTTATAATACTGCTTATTTTGAACATGTTCATCCAACTATATATCCAGTAACTTTAAATTTGGACAGTAGCATAAAAAAGTCAGGAAAAGCTTGCATCTTCCAAGTTCCCGGAATGTAGTTGGACCCAACTTTGCTTGCTGAGGCAGAATAAACCCTTTATCCTGCAGGTTTCTTTCTACCTGGATAGGCAGCCATCCTCCTGGCTTGCAGACTCTGCTGTGCTACACGGAGCAAATTCAAGAAAGGCCCACATCATATGGGAGCAGAGACAAGGCTGAAATCCTTCAGCTCAGGTATGGAAAGATCAAAGTACTGGATGGGCTTTCTTCCCTCAATGGATGCACTGACTTTTTTTTTTTTATCAATGGAAAAACCAATTAAAGTTGATAAAGACACATTCACTGCTGATTTTCCTTACTGCCCACTACTCTGTGCTAGAATAATGGATAGTATTCTGCCTATGGGTGTATTTTTCTAAGATCTGTCAGTTCTGACAGCATTTTGGCACCTGAATAACTCAAGATTTATGCCAAGGGTCTAGGAACACACCATTTCTCAGTAGATGATGGGTACATTTTTCAGCAGGGCTTCCCTAATTAAAGAAATAGAGAGAGATAGGGATCAGATTGATAGGTTTTGCAGTCAGATATTTCACGCTCAATTTGATGAAATATAAATCACTCACAGAACGTCTCTTAACATGCACAAGTGGAAGAAAAGCTGTACTGTGAGGGGAAGAGGGTGCCGGAATATAGCAATGGGGTCCAAACAATCTGTCACAGCAACTTGTTTCCAACTTTTATCTACAGAAAGCTCCGGGCAAGAGATGCTTGGGCAGCTTGTTTGTCACAACAGCGAAAAGGAAGGCAGCAACTAGAAATGTTGGGTTGCAGGTAGCCTGGCCCAAGCAGCTTACTTGGCTTGTTCAACACAGGCCAGGAAATGGCAAAAATCCTGAAAAGAGCAGAATACTGTTGCGTCTTAGAATTCTTTTGGCAGATTAAGGCACATATTTAGGCAATATGGGATTGCACAAGAGAACATGGGTGCTGTATTCAGAGCTATAAGCATTTTAGATTTTAGAAGGCCTTAAACAGCTCAGGACCGCAAAACCTCAAGGACTGCCTCTCTCCACATGAACCTCCCCGGACCCTGAGTTCATCCTCTGAAGCCCCTTTTCATATGCCTCCTCAACGAGGAGTCTGGAGGGTGGCAACACCAGACGGGGCCTTTTCTGCAGTGGCTCCCCATTTGTGGAATGCTCTCCTCAGGGAGGCTCGCCTGGTGCCTTCGTTATACACTTTTAGGCACCAGGCAAAACCGTTCCTCTTCAGGCCTTTGGCTGATTAACAGCCTATACCCTTTTAAATGTGTTTGTGGGAGGGGGTGAACAAAAGGCGGGTTATTGTTTTGGCCTTGTTCTCATTATGTATTCTGTGTCTTTATCTTGTATTTTTATGTTGTGAACCGCTCTGAGATCTACGGATGAAGGCTGGTATAGAAATAATAATAATAATAATAATAAGGCATACAATTTAGCATATAGCTCTTCATTTTGAATACAGTGGTACCTCAGGTTAAGTACGTAATTCGTTCCGGAGGTCCATACTTAACCTGAAACTGTTCTTAACCTGAAGCACCACTTTAGCTAATGGGGCCTCCTGCTGCTGCCACGCCGCCGGAGCATGATTTCTGTTCTCATCCTGAAGCAAAGTTCTTAACCTGAGGTAATATTTCAGGGTTAGCGGAGTCTGTAACCTGAAGCGTATGTAACCTGAAGCGTATGTAACCCGAGGTACCACTGTACAATGCTATACAGTATGCTCTTAACCTGCTGGCTTTGTCTGATATAGAACTGATATGAAGCCAGCTCCACCTTCCTCCATCCATTACATAGGGTAATACACAGAAGCATGGTGACCCATCTTTTCCGCAAGGCCAAGAAGGCTACCGGCGTGTTCCTGAGCTTGAGATTTGGGACAGTGTGCCTGTGTTACCTGATAAGGCACCAGTCATTATGACTGGATCTGAAATATCCCCCCCCCCCAACTCTGGCAGCAAGCCAGTATTGAGAAAAGGATGGCTATACTCTCTACCGATTGCTACGCAGCAGGGATTTCAAATTATTAGGGCCCTACGCTGAAGTGTAATTAGCATAAAAGTTAATTCAACCCTGGGGGAGATGTATACATTAGTCGTTTTTGTCACTAATTAGCTACCTCTTTAATTGTGCAGGGAAGGTAGGTCAAGACCTGTCCTAAATGCTGACTGTTAGAATAAGTAGACAGTAATACAGGACGTGCTGCAAACTATGGCAAAGCTGAGTGCCAAAACCCCAAGTGCTGTTTAAATTCCTCAGAAAACACCTAAGCAGTATAGTCTATTTTTATTTATAGATGTGCAACATATACATATCCCGCTGGTCACGTATGTTACCAAGGAACTTGGCCAGACTGTCGTATTATGTATACCCCTAGCACCTTGACTCTGAAACTTCCAGAATTTGGCCCAGGAAAATACTTAAACATACATGAAAAGAAATGTGCTAATTTGATTTATACTTTTGCACTCCCCAAAGTGCAAAAACTTAGATCCCAATAGTATGCAAACTTTAGGAAACTTAGATCCCAATGAGTTTCATTCCTAGCCTAGATTGTTCCAATACTAGTCAGCTTCTCCTTTCCCAAGCTTCATATTTGTCTTTCTACTTTTATACTCTGATTAGTAGGGCCTGAGAGGCGCAAAGGACATGTACCATCCATGATTGCATGAATAGTTCCCTGCAATATTATTTACTTATTGCATTTACATCCCACCTTTCTCTCCAAGGAGCTGAAGGTGGCATCCATGATTCTCCCCCTCCTTATTTAATCTCCACAACAACCTTGCGAGGTAGGTTAGAATGAGAGATAGTGACATGCCGAGGGTCAACCAGTAAGCTTCATTGGATTTGAACCCTGGTTTCCAAGGTCCTAGTCCAACACTCTAACCACAGCATCACACTGGCTCTCCTGAGACAGATGTGGGTGATTGGCAGATGTTATCAGCATACACGCTTTATCCCTTATACAGTGGTACCTCGGGTTACGTACGCTTCAGGTTACATACGCTTCAGGTTACAGACTCCGCTAAGCCAGAAATAGTGCTTCAGGTTAAGAACTTTGCTTCAGGATGAGAACAGAAATTGTGCTCCGGCGGCGCGGCGGCAGCAGGAGGCCCCATTAGCTAAAGTGGTGCTTCAGGTTAAGAACAGTTTCAGGTTAAGTACGGACCTCCGGAATGAATTAAGTACTTAACCCGAGGTACCACTGTATGCGGAAGCAATGCAGGCAACTCCCCACTTGTGCGGGAGTTGCATTCCTGGCCTCTGTGAGTGTCAGCGGATCATGCGTAAGTCCGCCCTGCCCCATTCCATTCCCGCTCTGCCCCCTTACAGTGCTGAAACAGGCACGCCAATCGCATAGAGTGTGGAGTTGCTTGTATTCATGCAGGAAAATAACTGTGAAATGGCAATCTTTTGCACCACAACTGGGGAAGGGCTGTATCTCAGTGGGAGAACATCTACATCACAAGCAAAAGGCGCCAGGTTCAATCCCTGGCATCTCCAGGTAGGGCTGGGAGAGATCTCGGTCCAAAATCCTGGATTGCTGCTGCCAGTCATTATGAACAATTCTAAGCTAGAATTCTGGCTCAGTATACAGCAGATTCCTGTTATGTTAACTGCAGGGGCAACTTCTGGCGGCAAGGGCTAGCCTTAATTTCTGTGCACACACTCACCCCCCTGTCCACAATTTATTAAGTGGATTTCACGTTTTAATTGATGGAATTATTTTTAAACTTGTTACCTGACCTAAGCATTTCAGATCCAGGAAAGCCAGGAACAGAAATAAATCTACAAATAAGTAAGTTAATATCTTTTAGGCCGAGGTCAGAATTACCAGCACCCCAATCTGTGTTCAGACCACCCTATAATCTCAGAGGCAGAGAGAGAAATTCACAGCACAATTTGCTTGGGAAGAGGGATAGGGTAGGGTGGGGGGAAGCTAGCCTCAAGAGCTATAAAAATGAAATGGAACAATTACAATGCAGACCGATGGGGATGCAAAAAGCACTAAGCTTTCAGGCACGGAGAGGTTAAAACAATTATTTGAACAGCTGGGAAAATTAAAATGGTAAAATAATAGCTACCCTTCAAAAATGCTACAGATGCAAAGAGACTCTTCAATGAATAACTGATAAAGAGGAAAAAACATTTTACAGGAAAACCATTTCATGCATGAAGGTCGAACAAGTAACAGCTTCTCTGATGTACCTGGGTTTTCAGACTTTCTACATGATATGCAGGATCTGGAGGTGCTAATACCATCACCTTCAACCTCTCCAGGTCAATCGCAGGAGGTCTACAGTACACTAAAAACTAGATATTCCAGTTGGAGCTGGAAACCTTTACTTTTTATGAGGCGGATTCAACATGCATGCTCACTTTCCCACACCAACCCTTGCACACTAATCTGGATGCATGGTAAGAGGCTGTTTAATTACTTTGAAGGGGCCCATTATTTAAACACACACACACACACACACACTTCGCATGCAAGCAATGGAAACAGAGTGGATACACTTCAAAGGGACAAATTCAATCTGATAAAATATGCACAGCCAATACTATACATTTCTGTATGTGTGTGGGGTGAATCAAAAGAGGTTCCCATATACAATAGCAATAACATGCAACTTGCATGCTATTTCAAGGGATCTGGGCCTTGGAGAACTAAAAAGGGCACTGACCACATGCCATTCTATTCATACGGAGAACGGCTCCTATTTCAAAACTGCTTGATGAGGACTTTATTTTATTTATTTAAATCCACAATTGTACTAGAGAGGAATATGGGAAGCTGCTTTAAACCAAGCTATACCCCTTGTCCACCTGTCTCAGTACTGTCTATGCTGACTGACAGTGGCTCTCCAGGGTTTCCCACTCCTTCCTGGAGACACCAGGGCTGAATGTGGAGTTGTTTGCATGGATGGCATGTTGTAGCAGTGAGCTGCAGCCCATGCTCTGCGGTGGCAGCAGAGACTGGCACAATATATTAGTAGCAGTAACAGATGTTTATAGAAACTTCAGAGAGGTCAAAGCACCTCAACTACATCATGTCACTAATCAACCTTACAACTGCCTTGTAAGATGGGTCAATACTATCACCTCCGTATTGATGCCATCCTTTGCCTTCTCTGACAGGAATAATTAAATCTTGGCTTGTCGGTGAGTTAATTCAGATTCCCACCCAAAAGTATACAAGCTGCCAGTTCCAGATTCAAAGCCTGAAAATCCATCTCCATAGAATCATAGAGTTGGAAGGGACCCAAGGGTCATCTAGTCCAACCCCCTGCAATGCAGGAATCTCAACTAAAGCGTCCATGACAGATGGCCATACATCCTCTGCATGAAATCCAAGAAGTTTCCCCTCAGACTCCAGAGCATTCAGCTAGTACAAACCTTGTGGGCTGCCAATTTTTTATTTCCAAAAGTTTTAGACCATTTTCTTTACTATTTCTCCTCTTGGGGTGGCGAAGAAGAAGAAGAAGAAGAAGAAGAAGAAGAAGAAGAAGAAGAAGAAGAAGAAGAAGAAGAAGAAGAAGAAGAAGAAGAAGTAGTAGTGTTGCCGTTGTTGTTGTTGTGGTTGTTGTTATTACTCCCACCCATCTGGCTGGGTTTCCCCAGCCACTCTGGGCAGCAGTTGTAGTTAAAATGACAGAATATAATATCAAAACTGTATACACACATATAGTAGAAACTGACAAAGCTTAGCAGTGAAAGTTTAGATATACATGATAGAAATTATTCAGAATTTCTTTTTCTTTTTAAAATATCTTTTCCAGGAGAACTAAAGAAGAAAGAACTCCAAAATGGCGCTCTCTCCAGTGGCCGCCCACCTCACACCCAAGTGACAAGGGCAGGTGGAAGGGTATCCAAATATTAACTTAGTATATGAAAAGGTTTGTGTGGGGAAAAGTCATTCCTTCACCTACCTTGCTCCCAAACTGTATAGAGCTTTAAAGGCAAGACTTTGAATTGTGCCTGAAAACCCAACATCCCAGAGTTCATCTTTCCTTGTAATTTTATATCTACAAATTACAGAGCAGACTGAGAAAGCAAGTGAACTAGAGATTCCTTTGTATTTAGGCTATTTTTGTGGAACAATTTCTCTTTCTGCCTGCAAACTCTTATCTCTAATCAAAGCACCTTCTGCCCAAGTTTTGTTACAGTGTAAGGTTCTTAGGTAAGCTGGTGGAAAATAGGCCACCTGAGAGTGGAACTTGGGCTCTTTTCAGCTGTGGATTTTGCTCTAGTTTTGGAAAGAAACTGCTTAAAAAGGGCACCAGTGTGCAGTAAAGGCTAAAGTATTGGACTAGGACCTGGGAGATTGGTCCTCACTCTCCACAAAGCTCCCTGGGTGACCTTGGGCCAGTCACTATCTCTCAGCCTAACCTACCTCACAGGGTTGCTGTGAGGATAAAATGGGAGGGGCAGAACTATGTATACCACTTTGAGCTCCTTGGAAGAAATGGTGGTATATAATTGTAATAAATAATAATAACTAAGACTGTGAATATTAAGTGTTGGTGTGAAATCTGTGTCAAACAAACCCAAATTCTGCTAGCTGTCTTTTCTCCACCACCGAAGATTTCACCTAGCATTGTCTTGAAATCTGCTTGAAGACTGCATGTTCATAGTAATTCTGCACAGCATGTTAATAGTAATTCTGCACATTAGTTCTGCACGTATATGTAATTTCTGTGCTTGCATGGTACTGTGATGAAATGCACATAGTCTTGCAAAAAGGTCTCGCAGCATGGTCTGAATGCAACTAACGTTGCAATGCAAAGCTGGTCTGGTCAGTGTCTGTATGGGAGACGGCCTGGCAACTCTATTCCATCAAGTTCCATGATGAAAGAAATGTGAGATATAAAGGATTCTGTCCAATGTTAATCATACTCAGAGAAGACCCACTGAAATTCATGGACAGAAATGGCTTAGGTAAATTAATTTCAGTGATTCTACACCAAATATAACTTAGTTGGAAACAACTCAAAGGATTTAAAATAGAATATTACAGCAATATCCCTCTCTGATCTTGCAGTCAAAGAAGGATAGCCTAATGAGAACAGATCCCTGGGAATTTCACAGCAAGTTTCTCTAAGTCTGCTCTAAAAGCATGCAGAACAAGCACAGTATTTCTGCTGTCCCCAAATCCATAGAAGGCATCTCAAATGGTCTGAGTTAAGGCTTTGCCATATTTTGCAGGAGTCAAAACATTGGAATCTTCCTAAATTACAATTTGTATATTTACATTCAGCCAAACTGAAACCTATTCTGCATGTTAATGCAATTTATCCATGACATTATATCCCACCTTTCCTCCAAAGAGCTCAAGCTGTACACAGTTCTCCCCCTTCCCATTTAATACGCACAACAACCCTATGAGGTAGGTTAGGCTAATGCAGTAAGGATACTTTTCTTACGCGTTGTAAAATGTTGCACAGATCCACCATGCAGCACTGAACAAGGGCCCTGCTGCTGGGGAATAAACACATGGTTTCTGGAGTTGCCAACCCAGATTTGGTCATCTGATCAAACTGTATATGACAAATGGATGATGATTATTTAATCTTAGTTGCATGGTACACAATCAGCCCAATAACTAGGGAACACAACTGTGTTACTACTAGCCATCTTTAGTGCACACAGCCCTTTTCTTTGCATTAACTAGGAGGACAACAAAGGCATAACAGGTGTTTTACTGCTTCCAACCATGGCACACATTTTAAAGTTTTAAAATTTATTCACCAGGACTAGAAACTTACCGTCGAAAAGACTGATTTGCATCCAGTGTAGTGCTAAGAAACTGCCCCATCAGCGCCAGGATTTACTCATGTGATGATGCTTCTCCCCCTGCGCAACCCTAAATTTGTTCTGGGGTTTTCCCCAATTATCCAAAGCAGATCTGGAGAAGGCATGGCAGGGAGTCGTATTGCACAAACATTAATCCTTGCGCTGATGGGATGGTTACTTAGAGCTACGCTGGATACAAGTGATTATCTCCCCATCCAACATGCCCATAATTTCAACCATAATTTTTATGAACAGGGTGCACAGAAGAATGGAAGGCAACCTTAACGCACAAGAATGCAAATAAAAACTTCAGCCGTTGTAAGAGACCCAGTGCCCCTGTTCTTATGGATTTTTTGATATAAAGATGGGCAATGTATTCACCCCATGGATATTATATATATGGGTATAAAGAGGACGGAGGCTCAATAAGGTATCTGGCCAATTTGGTTACTGTGTTGCAAAACAGAACACTGTGAACAACAACAAGCAACACGTTGGCTAATGATATACTGACAATATTCTTATAACACTATAATATATCAAAATCAACAGAAGACATATAATATGTGCGTGGAGTCACAAACTAATAAGAATCAGATAAATGTTCCATAACCAGGAATGGTGGGATTGGTAAATCACTGTCAAGGATCACTGAAATAGAGGCAGAATGCCTTTCCACAGTCAATATCATACCCAAAATGTAGTTGGAA